TTGTTTCGCCCTTCATTCCCTTATTAGCCTTGGCTTTTATGCAGACTAACGCTATTGGTGCAACATCTCACTAGCTACAGTTTTTCTCTAGAAGATTGATACGGATGATAACATGATACCACAAAAGTATATGATATCTGTGGATCAACTATGGGTACAAGGTAGGCAGTTTTTAGCATTCAACATTGCTATTAAATGCTAAACGTCATGCAATACCACTCTATAAGACTGTATCGTCTTGGGGAGTTACTACATTATTATGTTTTGAATTTAATAAGCCGACATTTCAAGATAGATCGTCTCCAGGAGGATTCTGTGTATTGTTCGAGCCAATCGAAACTTTGGTGTACAGTTATGAATCTATTTACTTTTCTATTTTGTGCGAGTATAATATTATTTCCCTCTACTGAATGATAAAGTAAGGATTTACATGTCGACGGCCGACCCTCTTCATGTACTACCTAATCCTGCTGAAATAAATTTTGCGGAAAGAAAATCAAAGCTTTCTTTTGACTTCTATATATGAAGAAGTAAAAAAGTGTAGATCTGAGAGATAAATTCTTCAATATGATTCTGAAAACATCTCTGATATACCTGTTTGCCTAAAGACGACTGGTTAAGGTACTACAGTGCATGGAAATTATACTGTGATTTTGCATTGTAGACGCACCTGACTCCTGGCTAGTGTTTGAATTCTGAATTAAGAAAAAGCCCCACTATGTTTATCAACTCTGGACTAAACTAGTTATTGGAGTGCAGTAAAAGGACAAGAAAATCACTATCATATCTGTAGTGAAATACACAACAATGGTGCATCCTAGTGGCTTCTACAAATCGTTAATTGGCAGAAATATCATTGAATCTTACCTTAATCTTTTAACCACAGTACTCTAGTATCTAGAACAAAGTGATCACTCCGTATATGAAACGAGCAAAAACATTAAAAGGCCTCAGACAGTGCTATTCGAACTCAATAGAATATCGAGTTTCCAATAGTAGAACCATGGGGAAGTTGGTTGGACTGGTTTAAACGGAAAGGAACTATAGTTCCAGACTTCCCTTACAGCTCGGAATGTAAAGCTACGTATTAACATGGTGTTTAGCGCTTCAAACGTGGGAGTATTGCCAAGGTTGTTATTGAAAATTAAATAACATGGGGCCTCACAGGGTATACTAGAATTTCGTAATACTGTTACAGTGAAGTTACTTCTGAGTCATCTCATTCTAAGGTGGTAGAGGTATGATGACTTCGAAAGTCCCATGCAACATTTAAACATGAGTCCACGAAACAATTTCTTGTCCCGTTTTCGCATACTTTTCAAAGTATTCCCACTTTGTTGCGGATGGTAGAAAGCACTGTTCGAAAAACTTTTCCACCACCACACCGGCTATAAATGGGTTTCGAAGATAATATTCTAGGGTCCACCCTAGGCGTATGTTGAATTAGTTGCCATGTGATTTTTATCAATTAAGAAGTAACATACACGAAGGCCTCTCTACCGACAACGTTTGTAATGGCTGGTGTTTTATCACGCACAGATTAAGTAACTGATGTAGTGGTAAATAAATCCCTAAAATAAATAGCTCTGTAAGTCTTCGACATTAGATGCTGGCCACATTAATTTTAATGGACTCACCTAGCTGAAGGCGCTCGGTTATGCATCCATACCAGATCATCAGTGGGAACGCCGTGCTCAACAACCCCTGCAATCGCTAGCCAGATTAGATCAGACGATTCTCGATATATTGATAGCCTATCAAATATATCTTCGAACCTCCTCGCTTCTGTCTTTTGATTTCACTTGGTGGGTCTGCTTCACATTGGAAGGTGTTACTGGTTAAAGCGTTGTCAAACTCCGAATACTTGTGGCATCGTCACCGCGTACTGAGTTCAAACTTAATTCACTATTAACTTGATCGACCGGTCTGTCCGGAAGCTAGAATGGCCAATGTGGGCTTAACATAGAACCTGCCACTAAAAATTCCCCTATTGAAAATGTGAAGAATTACAAAATAAGTCCATGATAACTATCCCTACAGAACTAATGATTCCTTGTCACTGAACACAGGGAGCCTGTTAGGCGAAAGTTTCTTCCATTCAGTCCACAACCGTTTAAACTGTTTAGTTTGGAGTGTGTCACGGTAAGGTAAAGCAAGAAGTATCTCAGAATTTTAACAGCGTGTGTTTCGATCATATGTCACACTTCTTCACAGAAGTTTAGAACTAGAGTTCCATTCCTCTTAAACCAGTCCAACCAACTTCCCCATGGTTCTACTATTGGAAACTCGATATTCTATTGAGTTCGAATAGCACTATCTGAGGCCTTTTTATGTTCTTTCTCGTTTCATATACGGAGTGATCACTTTTTTCTAGATGCTAGAGTTTTCTGAGCATAAGGATCCTTCATTATTTCCATTAACTGTTGGTTTGTTTGAAACTGTATAACTTGTTATTGCATAATTGCTGCACAATCCGCGGTGTTTAATCTTAGCAGTATGTAACTCGTTAATACTTTAGTATGTTGGTCAAGACACTTTTCATATACCTTTGGGAAACGAATATTTCATTCTGCAGCTAGAATGTTGGAAGTGCACGGAACCATAAAAAGCAAACGCAAAGAAATCAATCGTCTTATACAAGTTCTTAACAAAGATATGAAGACTAAAACGTTGGTTGAGGTAGATAATGTTGTACTCAGCCACCTATATCTACAAATTGTAGCTCTGATTGTAATACCGGTTTCGATAACATTTCGGTTTGGGCTTAACAGTATGCTAAATACGGGGCTGACTACCCAATCTCCTGTAATTAAAGTACTGGAAAGAATAATCAAACGGACCATAACGGCATTTATGGAAACCAATAACTTGCTGAACATGGCACAACATGGTTTTAGAAAGGGTCTATCCTGTACAACGAACCTCCTTATAGCAACGGAGTCCTGGATAAAGGCACTAGACAACGGGAACTCAGTGGATGCTGTCTACATAGACTTCAGTAAGGCTTTTGACAAGGTGCCAACAAATAGACTACTATTGAAGTTGGAAAACCTTGGTATTGCCGGACCTCTATTAAAATTGATGGAGGATTTCCTAGTAGATCGTAGACAGAAAGTAATAATAAATTCCAAGTGCTCCATCTGGAGACCAGTACTTAGTGGGGTACCTCAAGGTTCCGTCTTAGGTCCTTTACTTTTTATAATGTATGTTAATGATCTTCGAAATATAGTACAGTCTCCAATGTTATTATACGCTGACGACGTAAAAATCTGGTGAGTAATAACTGGAGACACAGACGCACGTGCTCTTCAGGTAGACTTAAATAATATGATTAACTGGTCTAAGGATTGGCTGGTGCCTATCAACGCGGAAAAGTGTGTCTACATGCACTTTGGGGATTCAAAGGTTAGTAGGTACAACATAGGGGGGGCGACATTACCCGTAGTCCGGTCACATAAGGATCTAGGGGTGACAGTGAGTCATGATCTTAAGACGACGGCCCATTGCCGGGAGGTCGCAGCTAAGGGGTTTCGAACCCTCTGGGCTTTAAAGCGGACATAAACTAAGTTAGATACTAAAATGTTCACCACAGTATACATATCCTTAGTGAGAACTAAGCTAGAGAACTGCTTTCAGTTTGCAAGTCCTTGTTTAAAACGACTCGGATATCCTAGAAAAAGTATTGAGGGCAGATACCCGTGCAATTCCAGAACTCCGGGGTTTTTCATACAAAGAGCGGCTTCAAAAGTTGGACAACTTTACTCTCTTCTATCCCAGACTAAGGGGAGATCTAATTTTGATGTACAGAATACTGAGAAATGATTTTGGACCTTACTTATTCTCTCTCTTTCTTCCCACTAGATCGGGACACCTCAGAGGACATAGCAGGCGAGTAGAAAAGCCAAGAATGAACAAAATACCCATGGTATACAGGTTGTCACGCTGAGAACTTATTACTTGGAACCTGTTACTCAAAGCAGTAGTGTCCGCACCTTCAATTGACGCTTTCAAGAGAAGACTGGACACTCACAGAAGCATACTAGAAAAGGAATAACATAGGCCATAGGCCTTCTGTCCTTACTGCACAAATCTTAATATTAGGGGAAGTTTTAGAGATATTTTGTGGAAGCTGCAGTAGAAAATTCTGGGGGAGTGCGACAAAAACCCTTAGGTTCTTCCACGTCATGTAGAGAACTGCGAAGCTTTATATGACTAGAAAAAACTCCAAATTTCCCCAAAATTCGGAGATTAGGTGCTTGTAAGACATGATGCTGTTTACTTCGTCTGGCTTCCAAACTATGGTGACTGGGTATAGTTCGAATTCACTTATGTGCCATATTGTGCCTCTTGTAAGGACAATGATTTCTTTTGATGGGAACGCCCTTTTGCAGAATTCTTGATCTAAACTTTCGAAGCATTTGGTCACATGTTATTTCCCACAAGTGTTAATGTTGTTTTGCAATTACTCATAATTGCTTCATTGCGATCCCGTCGATAAATCCCGACTTCGATTAACACGTCTGATTAACATCACTAACTCATAAAACAAAATGCAAGAATTTGTGCCCATGTACTTACCTTCATGATAGTCGTCGCACCAAAACTCTGGATTTTAAACGTAGTTTTTGTTTGCTTCAGTAGTTTACGGTTGTTTGCAAGGATTCGATTGTCTTTCCTTACACGAAGTTTATTTATAATTAACTTGTGACAAATGTTTCCTGTTCGCCTGTAATCCCCAGTTGTCTTCATTCTTATTAAGTTAAAACTTCATCATCTTTGATATCGCTGCCTATCATATGTGGTCGTTGTTTGACTTATTCGGTTACGTATGTATATTGTTGCTAATTGATATTCTAAAGCGAGTACTCGTCCCAGCCTTGGATAATATTTTTTTGTAATGCATATGTTTATTTCCACCATAGTCCATATTTGTTTGACTACAAACTCCATGAAAAATTTTTCTTCACTTCAGATCCCATTAAGCTATACATTAATAGATAATGGAATTCAAATCTCCTGCAGTCACCAAACATAAACTTATCCGCCTTCAGTTTTATAGTTGTCCACCAAGTGATATTATCGAACTAAATGAACTAGAAGATTATGCCGTTCATCGTATTCGAGTGCTAAAATGTGTCGAGGCTGTAGGGCAAGATTGTATTCGAGGCACAAAGGATTATGATGATAAAATGGTAACGGAGCTAACAAAGATAAGTGGCTTCGGGAAGATATTTACTTCTTCTTCTTCCTCCTTAAAGAATGCACAGGAAGACATTCACAAGGACATTGTTTCCCACTTTATTCTACAGGTAAATTGCCATATCTTCGCATCTTAGTAAGATGTGTTTATTTTGTATGTACAAAAATTCAGTTTATAGCTTGTATATAAGATTTCATTGTCTTTTTGTAATATATTTAGTAACGGAAATAATTTATGCATGCTCCTATCTAGTTCATCAAAGAACACGAATTTTCATCCTGAGATAATGTCCGGATATGTTAGTTCAAGCACTAAACACTTAAACGACTGGTTACTGTTTGGAACACTGCTCCACCTACTTCAGCTTAGGAAAGTCGGGCAGTATCACTAGCCCTCACACAAAAAACATGGCTGAAACCCGACTAAATAAACCGGTATTTGGTCAATAAGCTGCTTTGTTTTCACTTTTTTGTTTGCGTGATTCTCAGTAATCTCAATGCATAGCTTAACCACATGACGTAAGGTAGTTGAACATATTGTTTATCTCATCTTGGGGGTCTTGTCAGCTGTGGTGGGTTGTTAACTGTCGAGGTCTCAGCACGAATTTAAAAGGCCTTTTGGATCCCCTGATTTTCCCCACTCGCGAATATGAGACATCTGGCTGCCTATAAAAGGGCTGTAAAGTGTGGTTTCTCAGATTAAAGGGTATATGTAGACTACTAGTACTTGTTCATAGATGTCCTCAAAGTATTATTCATATGTGGAAGACCATTGCTGAACTTAAAGGAAGGGTTGTAGGGAATATGAAATTGGTTGACAACGTCGTAAATGAGTTACATGTGCCAAACCATCACCTGCATCAGTTCCCAATCCTAGGGTTAAAATAGATTTATAGGAAGCTATGAGCAATCAAACCAGAACATTGAATTAGATCTTGAATCGATTGACTGTTAGTCCGGATCATATTGATAAGCGCAAATTACCTGGTCGTGGTCCGCACATTTATCATGATTAATTGTTAAAAACGTGTAGTATGGCTTAGAATTGTGCAAGCGCTTGTTTCATGACTATTCATCCAACCTGAACGGTTTTTCCAAACAACCGCTTGTGACTATTCATTTTTCATAATCTACATATCCAAAACTGTAACTCCACCACAGATTTTAAATTATACATTTTTCATACCCATCATCATACGAATAAACAGAGTGATCTCATACGGAACCACTTTGACCAGAAATAACATGGCACTGACATGTGTCTTTGATTTTACTAATCATATTCTGCTTTGTTTCCTTTGTACTACTTAAACTTGTCTTGATTTCATTTATTCAGTCATTTACTCCGAAAGAGTGACTTACATTTAGTTTCGAAACGTCAGAAATAAAAATCTCTACTCATTGCGGAATCACAAAAATATTGTTACTGTTAACTTTCTACCCAATACTCCTTTTATTTAAAACTATAAAGTTCAACCTTGGTATTGATGCCTACACCTCATCTATCCCTTTTTTACTACTTGCACCATCTTGGCATTCATCCTGATAATCTCATCTTTCTGCGATGTGATAACTCTAGGTGATGCATATATATAACGAGTTCTACGTTCCTTACGGTTGAGACTGACCCCGAGTAATAGATCGTTTACTAAGTTCATTTACACAATTGACTTTGACACATACAGCATGATGCTTTGTTATGCTATCTGTATTCCCAAATCAAAGTAGGTGCGGAATTGTTTGAACCTGTAACCTACCAGTTGAAAGCCGGGTACTCTAATCTCTAGTCCCTTGGTAAGATCCCAAGATTGTGTGATTTGGTGGCTTGAGACGTTATTAAGTATAGGTCAAAATTAAGGTATTACATGCTTCATGAATAGTAAAATCCTTCTTGGCTGCGTTCTCACTTAAAAAATAGACTTTTGTGATTTTTATAGTCTATAATAGTTCTGCACTTTGTCTTTTGCTTCGCATTGTTGTTGTTTGAGTTTCGTGTATTCAATAGTGACAATTTACGGTGGATTATTTCGATTGACAGTAGTATGTGCTCCCTATACTTTAGGGTACAACTCCGATTCACACCATAACCTGTTTTGTCTTCTCTGATACCTTCAAAAAGGAAGGACACAAAATGTTGAATGGTCAAATTGTGGCAACTGTTCTTATGCAATTTGAAGCCCATGTCATCCTCAAGTGAAATTTGTTTGTACATTACATTTGTCATGACAACTGACTGAAAGTAACCCTATGAAATAGTACATAATTTCCGCGTTTCGCTCTAGACTTTAAGGAAATATTTCCTTGAAGAAGCTTGGACCAGATTGCCAGGCAAAACGTTGGATTTACTTCAAATTCTTTCGCTGAGATTTTACAAATACATTCTTCCTCTTTAATGTCTCACAATAACTTGGCGCCCAAATACGGTAAAATTATTCGATCAAATTTAGACGAAAGTTCTTATTTATTTAAGATTTAACATAGTACTTATAAGTGTCCTAACTTTTTATCGTTTGACGTCTTTAAGTTGTTGATTATTTGGATTGGTTTCGATACGATCGACTGATAGTTGCAACCCATCAATTTTGTCATATTGTTTTACAATATTTGTTCTCACCGTATGATATATGTTGTACCGAGGTCCTGATTTAAAACATTCATGGATATATCTCAACGCTTCATTCTCATCAATAACCAATAGATTTCTTCTAGGTCTACTGCACTGATAGATTCTCGTAAACTCATCAAATTTGGATCCGAACACGATGAAAAACGAAAACAAGTCAGATATAGGTTGAACAACAATTCCAGGCTGTTTGGGATGCGTTTCACCACCTCTAAATGAAAGTTGTTGCTCCAGGACTGGTCTGCATCAACACCTGAACTAAGGATAGGGAGTGAAGTAGTCGAACGCGTCGACAACTTCACTTATCTTGGAAGTCTGATTAGCCCTAATGGGTTGGTGTCTGACGAAATCTCTGTACGGATCCAGAATGCTTGTTTGGCTTTTGCCAACTTACGTCACCTATGGCGAAGGCGAGATATCCGTCTATCAATAAAAGGACGAGTATACTGCGCGGCAGTCCGTTCTGTTTTACTTTACGGCAGCGAAACATGGCCATTAAGAGTGGAAGATATTCGTAAGCTACTAATATTTGACCACAGATGCCTTAGAAATATTGCTGGCGTCTGCTGGGATCACTGGGTAAGTAATTGTTTGGTTAGACACAGGGTATTAGGGAATAATGGTAAATCAGTTGGTCAGGTTGTGAATCTTCATCGACTGAGATGGTTGGGCCACGTGTTACGTATGCCCGAACACCGATTACCACGACGTGCAATGCTAACCGGTGTTGGAGATGGTTGGAAGAAAGTTAGGGGCGGCCAAACCAAAACGTGGCATCAGTGCTTGAAGTCACTAACTTGTAGTCTGAGCCATGTTGGGAGATGCAGACTACTTGTTTGGGGTCCGCGTGACTATCGTAACCAATGGTTGGAGACTCTTGGTGACATGGCTCAGAATCGATCACAATGGCGTCGGTGTATACACTCTCTGTCTGCCCTTAAACTAAGAGATTAAAATCACTTCATATCTTTCTTTCTACGAACTAATTCTTTCTTCCTGTACTATATCCTTATATGCAATCTTTCTCTTATATATTACCACCTCTGAATTAACTACTTTTATGAATCCGGTGTTCATCTTGTTGTGTTAATGTGGTGTGGCAACTTGTTCCAATGTATATATGTGCCTGGTCCTACGTTGTAGCTGACTGACTGAGATAAGTGCTCATGAATGTCCGGTATTTCTATGTTTCAAATCTCATTTCACTTCAAATGGTGATGATGTCTATCCTGTAAACCCGTTTGGTGAAATCTCGCCGATATGTGGTTGCTTGACTTCCACACCGCCAAATATTTGCGGATAAGCGAAGTAAATGAAAAATCTGAACGCAGATACACATATATTTGCACTCCTGCTTGCACCCAAACTTTTATCCAAGCCACTTTATAACACGGCTTTATAAAAAAAACTGAGTACCTAAGTGTAAAATTGTTCTTTTTTATTCCTTCAAATGACTTCTTCAATCATACATTAATCAGGATACCACTGCTGTTTTCCGTTCAGGTTGCTTACTGCCGTAGCGAAGATCTACGTCGATGGTTTGTTCAGCAAGAAGTAGATTTATTTCGATTTCGATTTCTCAATGAACGTAACAATTCTGCTTTTGGTTCAGAAGTTATTTCAAGATTTCTCCATGAAAATCATCTCCATTTCACCCTTATGTCCGATTCCGAACGAACAAACTTACTGAATCATTTAATAGCAGGTACAGCTACTGCGGGAATTGATCATAATACTACCGCATTTTACAAAGTGAGTAATCCGATCTATATGAATTATTAAATTTATCAAGAATTATCGTCACCTTCAATCAGTGTTTTAAAATCAATGAACTTTATTATCATTACTAACGACGAGATTTAGTAGCACCTTTTGTTTCGTACTCAACTTGTCAATCATAAAACCATATCCCAACACAGTCAGTCACAAGATTTAACAAACGAATGTCCACCATTTACTCTAATAAACATGTTTTGGGCATAGTATATGATTCCTTACACCTCTTACTGACTTTTAATGAAGCTGTTTAATCCTGCGGAAAGGTGAATGGATGGAATTGGGGTCGCAAATAGTGAAATTCAGTTTGCTGCATATTATTGAGTTCCATTATTCGGTGTTTGGAACCGAATGCAAATCATTCACAGTACATTTCGAATTTGGTACATCCGTTCACTAAGCAAATATATTAGCAGCTTCAACTTTAGTCCTATGAAAAAAACTACTATCCTTTTCTTTCATGTCCTGTTAACTAGAGAGAAAAGTTTGTTTTCGTAATGGGAGCTTTGTTGGTGATGACCCCAATAGAATTAGAAAATATATTTTAGGTTAGCCGGTTATATATATATATATATATATATATATATATATATATATATATATGTTCTAACGATTAGGATTTACGAATCGAACGATTCACTATACACAGTCACAGTAAAAATCCACTGAAATTTCACAAAGTAATGGTACAAAAATGTGTAGAAAGTTAACCTTAAAATTACCTCAAATCAGTACTGGTTTCCTTCTTCATAAGTTGTAGTCAGGGGTTGCACATCCCCAACAGAATCCTTAATTCTTCATCTTGAGACCTGGGACAAATATGCATCTATTAGATTTGTCACATAGTGTTCGGAATAAAAGGCACCCAAACTAATGGTAATTATCTCACTCTTTTGATTAATGAGGCTTTCTCCCTAGATCATTTGACTTCATAGTATTTAAATCCACACACAGCTTGGTTCTACAAGAGGCCATTTGCGGCCCGAGTAGCTATTGTAACTTTTCTCCCTGAGACAATAGGTGGTCTATCTTTAAAGATCTGAGAGATCCAGTAGTTCAATCGAGATCATGTAAAGTGTCGTTAGATGCCAACAAATAAAGCATTCCAGGTCTTTTTCATTAGTTCGAATCATCACCATGTTTCATATACAGCTGTCTGGTCTGACGGATTATCGTATACTAAGATGAAATTTCCAAATTTAATTACCAAAGTTAAGATTTAATCGCACCTTGTGTCTCATGTACCATTTCCCATCAATGATGTGTCGGCACACATCTTCATAAAAAAGAATTTCTATATTTTCTTATCAAAAAAGCATTTGATATGAACAGAGACTAGAGTTAGGAAGAAAGACAAGATTAAATGACAAGATGACATAATATTTTAAGTTAAAAAAAGCTGGAGAAAGAATTGAAAAATTGTTCATGTTCGATAAAGTGGCGGTAAAAGCGTCCTGAATGAAAAAAAATTATTCCCATCACATTTCCATGTTTGTAGTTCTAGTTTAGATGCTAATTTTTGAACTGACAATGATATTAATAAAACTCCTTGAGTTTTTCTAATGATCAACTGTCTGTAACAGTTATCTTTTGAGAACATGCATTCATGAATGAAATAAGCAGTAATAAGTTTGAGAAGTGTTGTGCGAAGCTAAAGTCGAATTTATCCTAATTTAAAAATCTGACATGAATTTTCAGAGGAAATTTTTGCTTAATTTTACGACAATCACATATCGAGTTTTGTATTTCGTTTTCTTTTTTCTTTCTAGGTTCATTTTACTGAAGTTCCGGATCTTATTCGATCTAGACGAGTTTTTGTACAGGGTGGATATGCGTTTGTACCAGAACCTGACTTAGTCAGTCTTGTTGTTTCCTGTTTTCGTACTAGTTTATCACGCAACTTAGCGCACCTTGGATTGACTTTGTGCTCCAGAATAGCATGTGAAGAAAATCGGGTTTTGCCCCTGTTATCATCTTTATCCAATCGTTATCTTGGTGAGGACTATTCAACTAAAGCACCTGTTACTGGATTAGTAAAAGCTGATGATATAGACGGTTTCTCGAGACAACCAGGCCTTTTCCCACCCTGTATGGCACAGTTACATGAAGCTCTCAAAATACATCACCACTTGCGGCATTCCGGTAGAATGCAGTACTGTCTATTTTTAAAGGTTAGCTCTAATTGACGCACAGATAATTAGATGTTTAATGAAATATTTCTTTTGCTGCTATCGACTGTTTTGGGTTTGTCATATAACTTATTCACATGCTCCAGTTTTCGTACATATGACTATTTTCTGTTTCTCTGAAACTTTTAGAATGCTTAAAATCAAGTTTACTTGTTCAGTAGTTCTATTTCCGTTTGCCAAACCAAAATAGATCATAGGTTAGCTCTCATTTCATGGGAATGGCGATCTACTACAGTTGTGGTTTTCCGAAATCTCGTTCTCATAAACTTTAGCCTTACATAGGCTAACTACAACTCGAGATACGATGCTCTTTGGGAGACCACGAGTTTAATATATGTCAATCCTTAGGTCTAAAAACTTCACAAGGCTTCCTTAGGGAACGGAAACGTGGTTGCATTTGAAGCAGCAGCTACAACTGGTAACTAGCGGAAACCGTTTCAGCTCATCCAGGCCAATAATAGCAAGAAGTCTTACTGGTGAGAAAAACTGTGGAGTTGGTAGAAGGCCAATCAATGACCTCCAGAAGCCTCGAAAACACTAGGCCAAGGATTTTGAAAGACAAGCCAACAGTTTTATTTGCCCAGTAGTGTCGATCAGACTGTCTTGTGCTTATTGGCTATTTTATTTACTTGTTTATTTTAACACATAGATATTGGTACAAGGAGGCACCAAATACATATGTACCACACAAATCTCATTTGATATGTGTGAGGGCTGTGATACTGACCGGGTGACCAAACCGAAGCAGGTGGTTTTCTCAGGGGCCACACCCGGAGCCTTCGACCTGAAGGTCTGATCCACAAGGCAGTGGAGCATTGTAAGGAGATGCAGTCGCATGGTAGCCGGTGACCAACGATTGGTTCATACGCCATTTGTTCCTTCAGGGTACTGGAGCCCATGTGCACCGTTGGTTTGGAATTAGGGTTTTCCAACTCCCCCTAGGTGGACTCTTTATGTCCACCAACCCGGTTGAGGCGCCGGACATTCGGTTTTCGTCTTCAATTTCGTTAACAAAACCCCCGCCACGAGAAGGCAGTGAGTAGGACTTCCCTGGCAGAGGCTGTATACGCGTGGCCATGTGGGAGCATTTCGAAAAGGAGAGCGGACTCCCCACTCTCTGCCGTACCAGGGCTTCTTGGCTGATGACTACTGATCCATCTATCAAGCGGGGGTCGTTAGGCAAAATTCACCAGGCTTAAACGACTTGAAACCGGTTGTTTTTAAGAGTAGTATCAAACTTCTGTTAAGATATTTGACTGTATTGTTTGGATAGATTTGGATAACAGACTTTTCTGATATTTGGAATGAAGCGTTTGTTGTTTTAACCTTTATAAAGGACTCATGTGTTTGTGCAACCACTATCAGGTTATAGTTTTTCTCCACTTTGCTTCCATACCATTAAGTACCGCCACAATCAGCAGATTGCGAGGAACTCTTGAAGGACTGGTTCAAGAGGTCAGTTTTCGTTCATGTTTTGGATGTGTTAATGAAGTCCTCACTCTACGCCAAATTTTGGGACAACTTCACACCTTTTTCAGGTCGACAATCGTCGTGATTTTTTATATCAGGACCACATTCGATTTATCAGAAAGGATTGTACTTTAACATTGTTTGATAACAGAAGATTGTCTTGAAAGTTTATTAGCAGCTTGAAAGCCCTGTTCACAAACAATATTGTAAGGGAATATGACTTTTTCTACTCACTGTTCTGATCTAACAATTGAATTAATCAGGTTTGTCGAATTTCGTCATCCCTCGACGTTACCATCGATGACTTTCTGTAGACATCTCTTAAGGAAGTATGTGGTTGTGCAGACATTACTTGTGGAGAGGCTTCGATCTTGAATACGCAGACAATATTACCCTACTGTTAGATGGCAAGAAGTTATGCAATTTGCTATTAGTGTCTGTAAATTTAGCATGTAGTTTGCACCTAAACCTCTAGGGTTACTGCCTGTCCCAAGCCCGGATAAAGGATGAAGGTTGAGCATGGGGTCGGCAACCCCATCCCGTAGAAAGCAACTTTGCTAAAAAGACACTAACCAGAAAAGAACCATTTAAACTCTCCCCTAGGAGTTGAAGGATCTTCATTCAGAAGAATTATGACGTCTCATGGTAAAAGCCGATATTCTCCAGATGTCACGAGGCTGATGCCCCTTCTAACAACCAGAGCAACAATTTTTATCGGTGCATGGAATGTTCAGACAATGTGGGAGACCGGGAGATCTAATCAAATAGCTACGGAAACGAGGAGATACAATTTTACGGTGTTCGGAATCGGTTAAATCCACTGGACCCAAGCTCGACAACCAATATCAAAGTCAGAATCGTCAAGACGGTTAGTTCTATTGTAAGTAGCTGAAATTTGGAGAACTACTACAACCGTCATCAAAAAGGTACAAGTATTTGTAAACAGTTGTCTGCGCAAGATAATCAATATCCGTTTGCTGGATACCATCAGCAACAACCTACTGTGGGAGAGGTCAAACTAGCTTCCAGCTAAGGAGGGAATTAGGAAAAGACGTTGGAAGTGGATAGGACATTACATAAATCATCAAACTTCATCTCAAGGCAAGCGCTTACCTGGAATCGTGAAGGGAAACGGAAAAGAGGAAAGCAGAAGAACGCACTGCTACGAGAGTGCTGATGGGTGGCCTATGCTCTCTGACGAGGGGTAACAGGCGTATTGTTGGGGTGATCCAGAAAATTGCTTGCAAAAGACAAGCAACCATAGGGAATCACTAAGAAGCGTTTCATCCAATCAGCGTTCACTTGAAGTCTTAGCCAAAAATGTCAAGGAAGCGAAACGTCACATGCAGAGGCTCTGATTGGTTGGTTGCTACACTGCTACTATGTTTAGTAGCATTCCAGAATCTTCTAGCAACCCAAGGACATTTAAAATATAAAAACCCTATATTTTCTGTATTAAAATGAACCTTGGAGTAAACTACTTCTCGCGTACTTTGAGTCTTCTCTCTCGTGTTCAGCTCGCTGTATAGTTCTAGCTTGGGGGTTACAGAATAGCTTAGGAGACGAATATAGCGTTCAATCCTCAAGACTTATCACGTATGTAAGTGAAAAAAATAATGGCACTTTCTTCTGATCAGTCGCAGTTATTATTATAGCATCAGCAGATGTTAGCCTTTCAAGAGCAACCACTTGAAGCAGTTTTGGGCGGACTTTCCCCACTACCAGATATTCCAGAAAATAAAGAATCTATTTATGATGCAGACAATGGTCCAGTTATGGCCATTTCAGAAGTATGCCCTTTGGAATGTTCAAGTCCTCGTATACCCAAAACAAAATGTAAAATTGGTATATTTTCCGGCTCATTGTAAGACATTATCTTGCCAAATACACGTAAAACTGTGACAATACCGGTTGATTAAGAAACAGATTTTGTAAATGAAACCCTGAGTCCAGAATTCAATGAAGCACTTTTGGCCTTGGATAACTTCAAAACTAAACTTCAGCCTGAACAAAATAATGGTTTATGTGATATTGGTCGAGAAATTTGGACGGACTCATATCCAGAAAATAATTGGAGCAGTACGATGAATACAATTGCACCAAATGAAACTCAAAGTCATTGAAAGACAGAAGCGTATAATGAACTAACTTCTTATCCGATTTCTCCCCTATTGTTGCACATAATTTTGGTGAAATTTCTTATAAAAATGGAAAAAATATGTCAAATGAATCAAATGGTGATAAAAAATCTAATGCAGTTTTGGTAGATGCTGATTTTCCTGGTGATCCATTATCCACTACTGAGATTGTAAATAAATTTGAGGGAAATATTTCAGAAGAATCAAACCCTAATGACCTCAAATCAAATGTCGTTCATCCTCACCATCTAGTCACTCCTAGTGGATTCACCATTCAATGCTAAAAATATATTTTAAATAAAGTCACATTAATGGTAACTTGGCGATATGAGGATCCAACCGTATTTCGTGGGAGAGATAAGTTTGGGGAATTTAAAGTTACAGATATTTTTTAAAAATTAGGATCTAAACTTCTAATCTCTAAAAAAGGGAGAACTGTTATATCCTAGTGAAAATTAAATTTATGGTTAACTTCTGAGAACTATTAATGGAATTATATATATTCTGTATATCTATACTCCTCTTATTACAAGCTTTATTTGGACCTATAGACTATTATGATACGATTTACTATCCTAAAATTTTACTCAGTTTATTGATTAAGTCTCCCACAATCACGTCCACTTTTTGGCTTGATCTTGTTGAAATGTTATTTCCTATTTTGTGGTTTGATGTGGTCTTGTTTGCTAGTCTGCTCATACCGGTCGAACGTCATTAGTTCGGCACAGTACTAAGATTGTTTAAGTCGCATTTCGATTGGCGAATTAATCACGTGATAATTAGTCGGGCTTAAAGTCGCAACAATTTTGTCCCAGTCTCAAATGACCAAGAGTTTCCAAATTTTGGATGTCGCCCCACAGATCTTAGATCCCTTAGATTGGTAACATTAGGTTTTCATTTATGCTATATTTCTCTCGTTTTTCTATTTACGATTTCTCATTTAAGTAACATAATTGATTTATTTCTCAGCATTGAATTTTTCACGAATTATAATTTACTACTGTTTATGAGTTGGCTTATATGGTATTTATCTTACTATGCCCTTTCGAAATAATATTTTGTTTAGGGTATTGGATTACCTCTGGAAGAGTCACTTAAGTTTTGGCGCAAATCATTCTCTCCTAAATATGACAATGATCAATTTAATAAAGCTTACGCCTACAACATCAGACACAATTATGGAAAGGAAGGAAAACGTGCAGATTATACACCTTATTCTTGTATTAGGGTAATTCCTGTCTTTTGTTAAACGTTCATTACAGTATACCAAATTCGTCCTTCAATCCATTGTAGCTGACCTAAACATTGTGATTTTTTGTGTTAATGTAGGGTGGTAGTATAATCCCTCGTCAAAATTTTCGTCTAAAACTGTTATTGATTGTTGTCAGATATAAATAAAAATAATATATTTGTAATATCCCAATGAGTAGAAAATTGGATTTTCTGACGTTTCGTGGCTTAGTGTAAGTCACTTCTTCAGAGAATAAATAACCAAATTAAAATTAATCCAAGTTTAAATAGTACAACGGAACAATGCAAGAATAATATTTGATCAATCAAAAAACAGGTCTGAACAAGTTGATGTCATGTCATTTCTGTCAAGGTGATTCATAAGTGATAAGTATGTAAATTTGTGTGTGTATGTATATGTGCATTGTTTAAGAATGAAAACTTATGTGACCTTTATGGTAAGAAAGGATAGAGTTTAAATTTGTGAAATTGTAAATACGATCAGACTGAATGGTTAGGATAGATGGTCCAAGTAGGGTGTATGGTAAGGCCTTCTTTTCTATTGAGAGAAGTAGGATTAAGCATTATGTGGAACGCCTCAGCTACCCTCCTTTCTTTGTAGTTGGAAAAGCCTTTTTGCAATATTTTGATATTTTTAATATCGATTTGGTGGTTGTTGAAAATGGCATGAACTGCTATTGCCGATTTAATTTGAAGTTGGTTCAATTCTACCGGATTGTTAGGAGGTTTCTTTGTGTACCTAATATGTTCTTTGGCTCTAGTCACGATTTCGCGGGATGACTCTCCAATATAATAGGCATCACAATCGATACAACCTAATTTGTAGACGCAGTTCTGTGTGGACATGAAAGGGATTTTTTCTTTCAGGCGAACTAAAGTATTACGTAGTGTGTTCGTTGTTTTGTAATACACTTTAATTCTGTGGTGTTTTAAGATTCTTTGAATTTCTTCTGTTGTGCCATGACGGTATGGTAGAACTACAGTACCAATCCATGGCATTTCATTCGAAACATTATTATAATGTAATAAATTGTTTTGTTTTAATATGCTTCTAATAATCTTCATAGGAAAATTATTAAATTGTAAGGTACTAATTATATTCATTTGTTCTTTTCGTTTGTCTTCCTCTGATGTGATGATCTTGTTAGCTCTTCTAAAAAGATTTAAGGCTAGCGAGATCTTAGCACTGAAAGGATGTGCTGAATGGAAGTCAATATAACGATTTGAATGCGTCGGCTTTCGGTAAATGGATAAGTTTAGACTTCCATTTGGATTTCTTTTTACTAAGCAATCCAAGAATGGTAGCTCACCATGAGCATTTTCATTTTCATTGGTGAATTTGATTTGCGATGAGAGTGTATTAATTCGTTTTGAAAAAGATCTTAGATGAGTCTTTTTTATAACCACAAATGTATCGTCTACATATCTAAGCCAAATTCGTGGTATAATGTTGTGGGCGAAGATATTTGATTCTATGTATGCCATAAAAAGGTTGGCTACAATCGGGGACACGGGGGATCCCATTGCTACTCCGTTAGTTTGTTTGAATAAAATACCGTTAAAAGTAAATAGCGTTGAATTTAAGCAAAGTTTTAATGATTTCATGATTAGACTGATGCTCAACGGACATCTGTCAGGAAGAGTATTGTCGTTCTCAAGTAAACCCTTAATGAATTCTAAGCATTTATCAATGGGAACACTTGTGTATAAAGAAACGACATCAAAGCTTACCATGATTTCATTCTTCTTGATGATTAATCCGGATAATTTTGATTTAAAGTCATATGTGTCTTTAATTATATTATGTAGGTTGAGTTGTAATGGTTTTAATATATTGCTTAAATATTTCGATAGTGCATATGTTGGGGTGTTTGTGAAGTCTACTATTGGTCTTAAAGGAATATCTGGTTTATGAATTTTTGGTAAGCCATAAAACCGTGAGACATTACATGATTTGGGATGCAAAGCAAACCAAAGCGGAACCCCAATGATTGGTTTTAGCTCGTTCAGAAGTTGATTTGTTTCTAATTTGACTTTATTCTTAATCGTTAGAGAAGTTTTTGGATTGATCTTTTCATAAGGTCCTGTTGAGAGATGTTCAAGAGCTTTATTAATATAATCTGTTTTATTCATGATTACTGTTGTGTTGCCTTTGTCGGCTTTAGTGATGATAATTGTTTTATCTTTTTTAAGTGAATTCAGAGCCTTCAATTCTTCTTTTGAAATGTTTGGGGTAATGTGTTTTTGTTTCGTCAGAATATGGGATGTCTTTTGACGTAGTAAATGCGACTCTTTTTCCGGTAGTTGTGCGATCATAGGTTCTATAATCGGAGCGATTTCAAGAGTGCTAAGTGGTTTTCTGTGTTTAATCCCTTCTCCAGTAGAGTGATTTCGTGACTGTTTAAGTTTCTGTTGGAGAGATTATGAACTGTTCTTAGATTATTCAAATTGTATTTTATTGTTGATGTTTTCTTATCTTTCTTCTTTTCTTGTTCAGACCTGTTTTTTGATTGATCAAATATTATTCTTGCATTGTTCCGTTGTACTATTTAAACTTGGATTAATTTTAATTTGGTTATTTATTCTCTGAAGAAGTGACTTACACTAAGCCACGAAACGTCAGAAAATCCAATTTTCTACTCATTGGGATATTACAAATATATTATTTTTATTTATAACAATCAACCCAATGCTCAATTTATTCGAAGTTGTCAGATATGTTTGTATATGTCCCAAAGGTTTTTTTTATCTAACGCACACCAGTTTGATTTCTCGGTGTATATAGAACCTACTTTTTTTTAGTGTAGAACGTGATTTGGGTATTTTTATAAACAATCTGCTTTTACGCTGCATACTACATTTTGATAAATATTAAGTTTCGAAGGTGTTCAACTGATTATTATATTGAGTTATATAGATCCTCTTGTAAAAAACTGATGTTATTTAGTTCTTTTGCTGCTAAATGGCATTTTATTTGTTCACGCTTTGATCCCGTTGTCAATTATTTCTGCTTAGCAATCACGAATTCATTTGGCAATAATCCATTTGTTTTCAAAAATTACCATAACTTATCAAGTTACTAACAAAAAACCAAATCAACCAATTATCAGTCAATAACTTAGTAGCATTTATTATATAAATTTGTGGGATTCATCCATCAATACTCCTAACAGTGTATTGAAAATTTGAAGCTTACAGTGTTAGTAATGGAGAGTCCAGCTTCGCCAAACTTCTAGATTTGGAAATAAGCATCAACTCTGCTATTCCGGGATAAAAATAGTATTTGAGATTATATTTATTTTAGTTGAACAAGTGCGAATTATATATAATGTCAATCAACTAACATATATTCTGAATGCTTTCAAAATCACATTGATGTTTATATTGTGAATGTTTATTGTTATTGATTAAATCCATATTTCAGTAAGGAACATATACATTTTGATTTAGTATCTTAAAAAATTATTCCATTTTCTTTATTATTTATAACATAAAGATGCTTTGTGCAGATGTGTACTACCTAAAGAATTTAAAAACGAAAGATGTAATAATTACAAAATTAAAAGTTTTGATATAGTCATAGATTCATGCATGGATCAACATAAAATTAGTTTTCAAGACTTAAGACAGGGTTTCGAGATGCTGACAGATGAAATTTTAACAGGATACATATTTTTAATCAAAATGGATGAATTAACAATCAACAATCATGTAAACTAAAACCAATGAAAGCAAAGTAATCACCAACATTGAAGAACAGCGAAACAGATGAGTAGAACACTTCAATGAATTCTTGAATCGACCAACCCCACTGATCTCATCCAACATCGAAATAGCATCCACGGACCTCCCAATCGATGTCGGCCCACCAACAATTGAAGAGATCAGCATGGCCATCAAAAAAATCAAGAACGGCAAGGCAGCAGGACCAGACAACATTCCAGCAGAGGCACTAAAAGCAGATGTAGCAGCAACTGCAAAGATACTCCACATTCTCTTCTGCAAGATTTGGGATGAAGAACGAGTACCAACAGACTGGAAAGAAGGACACCTGATCAAAATACCAAAAAGGAGATCTTAGCAAGTGTGGTAACTACAGGGGCATCACTCTACTCTCAATACCGGGGAAAGTCTTCAACTGGCTATTGTTAAACAAAATGAAGGACTCCGTATACACCCAACTTCGAGACCAACAGGCAGGATTCCGTAAGGATAGATCGTGTACAGACCAAATCGCAACTCTACGGATCATTATGGAACAATCAATTGAATGGAATTCATCAACTTCATTGACAACGAGAAAGCATTTGATAGCGTGGACAGGACAACACTATGGAAGCGTACCTGAGAAAATAGTCAATAACATACGGAATTCCTATGGTGGATTAAACTGCAAAATCTTGCATGGAGGACAGTTGACAGACTCGTTCGAGGTAAAGAGCGGTGTCAGGCAAGGTTACTTACTCTCATCGTTTTCTCTTTCTCCTGGTGATCGAATGGATCATGAAGTCTTTAAAATCTGAAGGGAGGCATGGGATACAATGGACAGCTAGGATGCAGTTAGACGATCTAGACTTCGCAGATGATTTGGCCCCTCTATCGCAAACGCAACAACAGAATCAAACTTGACTGAGAAGATTTGGAAGATGTAAAAACCTTTACATATCTGGGTAGCATCATTGATGAACAGGGTGGATCTGATTCAGATGTGAACGCGTGGATCGGTAAAGCAAGAACAGCATATTTACTATTGAGGAACATCCGGAACTCAAAGCAACTGTCAACCAACACCAAGGTCAGAATTTGTAATACAAATGTCAAGACTGTTCTACTGTATGGGACGGAAACTTGGAGAACTACGTAAGCCATCATCTAGAAGATACATGTGTTTATTAACAGTTGTCTACGCAAAATATTTCGGATCCGTTGGCCAGACACTATCAGCAACAACCTATTGTGGGATAGGACAAACCAGATCCCAGCGGAGGAAAGAATCAGGAAGAAGCACTGGAAGTGGATAGAACACATATTAAGGAAGGCACCCAACCTCATCACAAGGCAAGCCCTCACATAGAATCCCCAAGGCCAAAGGAGGAGTGGAAGACCAAAGAACACATTACGTCGAGAAATAGAGACAGACATGAGAAAAATGAATAAAAATTGGACAGAACTGGAAAGGAAGGTCCAGGACATAGTGGATTGGAGAATTCTGGTCGGTGGCCTATGCTTCATTGGGAGTAACAGGCGTAAGTAATCATGTAAACTAAATGTTCAGTTGAACCTAGTAAATTGAATGTTCAACAAGGATTAGGACTTTTGCCTGGTATTTGTGTTACCATCAGCAAATGTTTTGCTTGTATCAAAAGTCTGTTAATCTACATCAGTTACTTTTAGTGCAATGATTGAAATAAAATGTTTCTACTAGTTGGTTATCTGTAACGTTATAAAAATAATGGTAATTAGCTGCACCCAAATATCCTTAGCAGTAGTGTAAAAGTGGAAAGTTAATCATTAACATGTTGCTTTCTTTCTTTATGAACAAATTTTTAAGTATTTATTTGTAATCGGTTTATTCTATAGTAAAAAGAATCTTAGTGTTACTGTGGATCTCGCACCTAATGTGATATTGATACCAGCGAGGTCGTAGGCTGATGTCACGTAGTTCTTGGACAAATATACATGAAACATACTTTTCAGATCGATTCGTAAACAACGAATACATAACAGTTAACTGAAAATTTGGGGAAGGATTTCTAAAATACGGAACACGTCACTACTGGGTCTTTCCATAAACCTGTTCGTTATCCGGTCCGCATCAACTTATGAACATTATATACTCCAGTGACACAAAAGGTTACAAAATAGCTACATCAGACATCACATTCCGAGACATATTTACAAAGTAACGCCTTAAGACCGTTGAGAAAGAATAGAAATCCCGATGAAAGCGAGCTAAGGAGTCGGTTAACAATTAAAATCATTGTAAGAAATGGGAGAAACCATATAGGGGTCAAAAACATACTGATACAATTCACTTGGTATTGTTTACTTGGATCTTCCCGTTGATGTTTAGGACTGCAATTGATCAGTGTCTTATTGGCATATGTGCGTACTGCTTTAATTCACAAACATTCTAATCAAAGATGGATAGTGGCTAGCAGTGAAATCCAGGTTGTGCGTACCAGTGAAATCAATGAACGAAAACGAGTGTAACTACTTGGTTACAGTTTAATGAAACTGAGGATACACTTTTTGGTTTTTCAGAAATGTTCATCGCGTCTGAGTAATCTTGATACATCAGTTAACAAACGTTTGTTTATAAGTATTATTACTGAGGTTTAACCAGATAATTTCGAATAAATTGAGCACTAGTGGACTGCGCATAATAACAAAATAACGATACATTTGTAATATCTTAATTAATCGAGAAACTGAATATCTGACGTTTTGCGATCTGATTTTAACCGCTTCTTTATAGAATAAATAGCTGAATCAAATTAACACTTGTTTAAATCTACTTATTGGGACACTAAAAGTAGATTCGTATTGTTTATTTATACTAGATATCTCATATGTACATCATTTTTATGTTTTTTTGAAAGCACACATGTTTACCTTGTTCATCGGTATATCATTGTTCACTTCTACTTATGGCTTAGATTGTCTCAGGCAGTGCTCCAGGAGCGGGAGATTATCACGGTTGTCCTTTTCGGCATATGGACCCTGAACTTCTTCGCCAACGTTTACTGTCAGGTGGTCGTCTGTCGTTAGATATTGTGGAAACAATTGTACAGCGAGCAAAAGAAAGACTTTACCACCTAAGTTGTCGTGAATATTTACGTGGGATGTTAAAATTGAGTGTAGACGATATATCTGGAATAACCATTCACCATCCAAATCAATATTTTGAAGAAGCTCGAAAGATAATACAAGGTAACAAAAATAACCCTACAGTTGACAAAATCCATGTGAAGAAAGTTAAATTGTATAACGGTGATGATGACGACAGGCTACTTCAAGCTATTGACATTAGTGATGCAAGTTTTACCTCATCTAATGAGGTAATGACAGCTTAATATGTTGATCGCCAATGTTTTTATCATTTCTTCGGTTTACGAAGGATTTTTTGTCAGTCATCTTTAGCACTTGATTGGTTCAATTACGTATTTTGAAAAGTTGAAGAAAAAATTGAACTGAACGTACACAAAATCTTATATGCTTGAAATTCCACCATTTTTATTGTTCTCGATACTTTTTATTATGATTTTTATTTTCAATTAGATTTTCCGTTTTCTATTCGTCTTTACATAGTTGAACCAAAACAATTCAGTTATTTGTCGATAAACATCCTATTCAGTATCGTCTGTTACAATTTTTCCAATGCTGTATGCATCCTCTAATTTCTATTTCATGTTTGATGTTACTTGGTTTCTATTAGTGTTTGTATCAGAGTACCCTTTTTAATGAAAGAAAATAATATTCGTTTTAAATCACATTACTCCAGTAACAGATATTCTAAGGTATTTGTTATTAAGTTTATAATCTGTCATATGTTAGATTTTTTGACTAGTTTCTTAAGGTACGGGTAATGAATCCTTACCCACAGTGTTGTCAAAAAAGCCTATTTAGATAGGTTTTTTAAATCATACTTTTCCTGTATTCAATATCGTTATAACGAGCCAATATAAACTAGTTGATTTATTCGCACCCGCTTCTTGATTTCATAAGATGTTTACAGGTTTCTTCAATGTCCAGTACGATTAACCTGGTAAGTCGGTTCCAATAGTAAAATAAAGTCAATGGATGTTAGCGGGACATAGATTAGATTAAAGCATGCTCAATGCACGATTGCTTTGGTGCACGCTGATTGGCTAATTCTTATCCAATCAGTGTTAGTCAATACTTAGTGAACACTAGGAATCTTCTCATGTGAAAAACTATAAATATACTAACGTTTTCCCTATTGTGCTTCTTACTTCCATCTAACCTTGTTATTGGAGTATAATCTCTTTGCTGTTCAACCGTGTTCTGATTTGGGGACTTGTCGAGTGAATCGGTGTCCGAGAATACTAAGCAATAGGAATAGCTGGGTTATAACCGTAAGAGAGAATTGTAACAGGTGGTTAACGTTACACGCCGGATAAATCGATTTCTGCTGAGGCTTTATGTCTGCTGCGACCAATTGTTACCATGTCACCAGAAAATAATTTAGTTGATTAATTTTCGTCCAAGTGTGTGACGACGGATCACCGGTGAACTCGAGGAAGCTGTAAGAGGCTTAGAAGGAGCCGAAGACGTCCCATCCAATCACCTTTCGGAAGAATGTTCTAGAATTCCAACGTGTAGCTTCCCGATTGGATAATGCTAATAACCCCCTGTATGCGAATTGGAAGACTGTAATGATGATTTCGTTCTCACTAAAAACTATAAATACCTGACAATTTTGTACTATGATTGACACTGTTTGGAATAATATTCCTTTCGTTAGTCTTCTGTCTTCTTATTGCGACTTGAAAGGGTTTTGGTGTTCTAGTGCTCTGTTTTACGCGGTAGTATCAAGAAAAATCAACTTTTCAAGATATAACAAAGTGTAAAATAATGCAAAAGTTGTTTCCCATAGGTTTAAGAAAATAGTGAGAGTATAGAAAAGGAGAAGATGCAGATATGCTAAATTATGTAAGGAGATAATTAGTGAATGCTTATCCTATTCATTCACTCTAAACAGCATAGCAGTTAATGGTCACCAATAGGTTAATGTAAACCACAAATGAGTGAAATGTTGAGCTATTAACTTACTGTATATTATGCCCTTCTTTCCTAGTTACTGATGTGAAAGACCATTCTGCTGTCGTTCTGAATGGTGTCGGTTATCAAAATCAGATACTCAAAATGATCCTTATTTTAAAGATTCAGGTAACTCACCAAACTAGACGTCTTACTGGTTAAAACTAGGACAGCAGGTGTCATTTTTTGTGCAACTAAACGATGAATATTCAGTAACACATTGGTTTAAACCATATTAGAGTAACAAGAAAATTATGATGTATGAGTAGTTACAACATAAGAGATAAGCGAATAAAAGACAGGATTAAGGGTTGCTCTGTAGTCAAGAGTTAAGTTTAAGAGTGTTAACGTTAGGTAAGAGTCAGGTTTAGGATGTGAGAGTTAGAGAATGCTTTTTAATCATTAAAACGCTCTTGGCTACGTCCCGAGTCACATTACGTACGTTCAGGTACAGTGTACACCAAGAACACGTATTTTTTGCAATTTAGCTTATACAACTTGTTAGATTCATTGTTTGGTTACGCAAGTTATTTTTAACCATATTCGAAAATAATTATAGGCAGGTTTTACCTATTATTACTTACACTTACTATCCCTCACTATGTTTTCAATTTTAGGCAAAATTTTAAAGGTGTTATTTCAAATCCGACTGATTGCTTGATGGTCGTCGATATTATATGGTTTTACCACATATTTTACTTTTACTTTACTGCTCACAAACTAACATTTGTCTGATAATTACTTGTTTCAAAGATGGAGGATAAGTCGGTTTATTGTTAATCCATCAACTGGACTTGTAAATCAGAACGCAAATATTTCTGAAGTGGGTTTAACTGGTGAATAGATTGAGTGTAATCAACAATGAGACTACGATGTCCCAAAGTTGTTTGAACACCTATGTATTGCAAAATCTGAATGCCTTTAGTTTAACTTCAGAAGAAAATAAGGATGATGAGTTTAAAAATGGGATAAGATTATTTCCTAATAGAGTTTGGCTTCCAGTTGTTTTTTAAATGATATCAGCTTTTGAATTCGACGTGTAATTCCCGGAAAATTCGATAACATTTTAAAAGAATTTCACTCACATTTTAGACATCCAGAATGTAAGCCTACTCTCCTTGTTTAGCGTCATTTCATTAAGAAATATAATCAGCTAGTTATATTCCTCAAATTATCGAAAATATACAGAAGCTGTCTGATATTACGTACACAATTACAATATAGATTACTGTTTCTAGACGTTCATTTTTATCCTCACCTAATAATTTAATTTACGATGCTACAAAAAATCGTATTGCAAAACTAAATGTCTTTATTCGTATTAAGAGGTCAAATATTGAGTAAGCATCTTCAACTGTCTTATACAACAATATTTTGACAAAATTATTTATTTGTCATCTAGCAACAATAACAAAGTTGCTAAGATATATAGACTACTTAATAATAGTATAACTTCTGAATATTAATTTAATTGAGATGTTTATTGAAAATTTGGTCTGGCTAACTGGGTTATCATTAACTAGCTTATCTGCGTGTGTTTAGATATCTAAGTTTTTCATGAGCTAAGTATGAAGCTATATGAACAGTACAGTGATTCATATAAAAAAAATTCAACTAGTGAAACTAACTTTATAGGTAAGAAAGTAAAAGTACACTGAAACATCAGGTTAAACTATCCCTATGCAATTATGAGTACCGTTAGTAGTTAACTTACAAGAACAAACTATGAACTTCATTTGACTTTAAGAAAATCTAAATATTCGGTTATCAGAAGAGTTTTTAATATGAGGATCAATATATTTGTTGATCAGTTGGTCTCCACGACCATCATTCATTTTCAGTTACTCGTTCATATATCTGCTGTCAAAAATACAATATACGACCGTATTGATTCACCGGATTGTACTGGGGATGTTGAATCCAAATGGCCTATTAAGATTTCATAGATATTTTAACAGTAAACTGTATTCTGAATTTCCCTAGAATAAACTCTTTGGTAGACTTTAGGGATTCATTTAAAATTTTCATTCATACTTAAATTACAAAGCTTGTGACAAAATTATAAGTATTCACTTGTAGTTTCTTTTTACAAATAAGGTTAGTCAAAGCAGATTTTCAAGAGAAAATGTTTCAATTATTGTTCAGAAGTTATACTACTATTAAGTAGTCTATATATCTTAGCAACTTTGTTATTGTTGCTAGATGACAAACAAATGAATAATTTTTGGATAATACTGTGAAAAGACGAAAGTTGTCAGTAGTGTGTGATAAATTTGCGTAATACATCTCGAACAATCTAATCACACATATACCTGTTAAGGCATTGTATATAAAAAATGAAAGGTCAATTAGACGAAAGGTAAGGGGGAACAAAGATGATAAAATAAACAAAAACAGAGTGACCACGTTGGATAATAAATCAGTAGAGGATATTGTGCACCACTTTCATTTTTCTGGATCAAATCAGAGAAGTATATTAACTGCCAAAAACTTCCAGTCATTAGAAGAATCGCAAAATAATACTGATATTATTATGGCTAAACTTGATAAAGGATCAGATGTCGTTATAATGAATAAGCCCATTTACAAAAATAAAATGGGATGATGTTTCAATGATAAAAACAAATTTCTGGCTGATGTTGACTCTGATGGATTACGTAAACTAGGAAGGAGCGTAAACTCGAATCTAATGAAATTGTTAAACATGAATGTTATTAACAAAGAGGAGTTTAATTTACTAAAACCTATGGGTTCGGCGTATCCTAATTTATATTGATTACCAAACGTTCATAGGACCAATACCCCCTTACATCCGATTCTATCAATGTTTCGATCACCTACACACAGTCTTATAAAATAGCTGATAAAAGTAATAAACCCTATTTGAAATCAATTTTGTAAGTACTCTTTGGATGACTCATTTTAATTACTGAAATAATACTAATGCAGAAACAAAGACAATGTGCTCCTTTGATGTAAACGCTTTATTTACAAATATGCCTCTAAAGAAGACTGATATTTCATGTGAGTATAACTCATTAATAATCTTCCATTGACATTTCCTGTAAAAACTTGGATTTATTATTATGTATTGACAATGTGAAATTCACTTTTGAGGGCAAGGATTTTCGACAGATTGATGGTGTAGATATGGGTAGTCCTTTAGAACTACGGGATATCTAGAAAATCTCACAGAAGAATCAATACAAAAAATCTATCTGTATAAGCGGTACATGGATAAACGTATAGATATGAACCACTTGTTAAAAAGATTCGGCACAAATCAAAAGCATAATTCTCCTACATCCGAAGAAGAGATGAATGAACAGTTCCCTTTTCTGGACATACTGATTAGTAAGAGAGACGATGGTCCCATCAAACGTTCTGCATATAGAAAGTCGAAATGAACAGAGCAATACCTTAATTCCCATAATCATAGTCCAATACAGTACAGACGTGGATTGATAAAGGTTTATTTAGTGGGATCAATGTAATGGACGCTACCTACAAGTTTGTTTGTAAGTGGTGTGTAGCAGAACGTGGCGTCGAAACTTGCAGCAATTGTGGGATGGAGTGAAGTTTCGGTGAATTAAAAGCACGGCATTGATGTAACACGTGGAGAATAGACAGTTTAGATTTCAGAACACATCGGAAGATGCAAATGAAAGACTGAAAGTTATGTATAAGCATTACGCAAATACTTCGTAACTTATTATTGCCTATTGTCGTGATTTACATCAATCGGATTCGTACTGCCAGTACCATTGAGGTAGACGCGCAGCTCGTAACTGAAATATTGGTGGGGGACGATTATTCACTGAGATTTATAAACCAATGGAAAAGTAGCAGTATGAATAGACCTATGACGGTTTTGGCACCCAAAAACAAGTCTATCATACTCTACCATTCATAGGTGACTTAAATAGTCCCATGTTGAAACGATTTAAATTACCTATCAACAGGTCATTTTATGTGGCCCAACACATCGTTATAGAAAATTTGAGGTATATTTTTCACCGAAAACTCAAACAACGTGTAAGCTATTGTATCACACCACATTGAGTTTATCACTCTAAATATATGTATGGAAACACGTATATAGGGAGGAGCAGTCGTGAGCTGCAAGGGTGGCTGAACAAATATCTAAATGGCTACAAAAAGAGATGAATTCCAGTGGTTAAATAAGATCACACGATGGATAAATATCTTCTTTCATTAAAAAACATTTGGTTGAGACCGATCATAGGGTTGATATCAAGTCAGTCTTTGTAGATTTGTATTAAAAATTTCAAGGGCATATACTAAGATTTATTGAAGCTTTGGCAATATGGAAACTGAAACCTTCTTCATGTGTTTAAAAACAATTTACTCTTACCCTTAAACTACCTTGGCAATATTGATTTATTATCCAACGTGGTCACTCTGTTTTTGTCTATTTTATCATCTTTGTTCCCCCTTACCTTTCGTCTAATTGACCTTTCATTTTTTATATACAATGCCTTAACAGGTATATGTGTGATTAGATTGTTCGAGATGTACTACGCAAATTTATCACTTAATTTTAATAAACTTCATCTTCGCATTACCTAAATTTATCAAGGGGACTAGTTGTCTTGAATAATTCTTGCCAAAATATTGTTATTTAAGACAGTTGAAGATTTTTACTAAATATTTTATAAATTTTCACAGATTCAAATCATGAGTCATTTGAAGCTAGACCACCATTGAAAACCTGGAAGCACGGCCGTCCAGTGCTGACTCATGATTTCAATCTGTGAAAATTTCTAAAAATCTCCACAAACCCCTTCTGATAATAATCATCTGCTCACTAGTGACTGACTTCAAGAGATACTCCTGGAGTTCTAGTGGGAAGCCGTTACCAGTGGAGTACAAACAGGTCTGTTGTGAGATATCAGCTCACTGAAAACAATGGTATATGGTGGCGCAACTTCAAGGATTGGTTGAAGTTAGACATTTGCACCGTTGGATGCCGGCTCAGTGGTCTAATGGTTAAGTGCTCGCGCGCGAAGCCAGTAGGTCCTGGGTTCGAGCCCCACGCGGTGCGGGATCGTGGATGCGCACTGCTAAGGAGTCCCATGCTAGGACGAAACGGCCGTCCAGTGCTTCCAGGTTTTCAATGGTGGTCTAGCTTCAACTGACTCATAATTTCAATCTGTGAAAATTTCTAAAAATCTCCGCAAACCCCTTCTGATAAATATTTTATCTCAAATTTTGAACAAAGGCATTTAATTTTTTAATTCAGATTTTTTCTAATGAACTGCCATGATTGTACCAAAACCCATACTCTTTTGAGTCATATTTATATCAGTGATATGATTCATAGCCAAACGAACCTGTTTGCTCATCAGTATACGTCCATACTGCTATATATTGCCCAAGACTGTTGATCTTTATTTGGTCGATATTTCCGCTATGAAATCCTGTGTTGCATAAGTTTTTCGTGGAGCTGGGCCATATAAGTATTGCTCTGAACCACTTACCAGTAAGAAGAATACATGAATGAAAAGATTACCATAAAATAATCTATTTTGAATAGACTCTAAGACAGAAGTGTTATATTTGTTTATGATGGTAGAAATTGACACAAGTTATAAACTCGTAGTCATTTTGAGTGATTGACATTCCAACTCGTAATCAGGGAAATCAAATCGTTCAAAACCCAAAAATCAATTTACAATGCTTCGATAAAGTTAGGTTAATCCATAGATAAGTTCTGATGATGTCGAATTATTTTTTATGTCGTTTAATAGGTTTATTCATTTAGTCAATAACACCTTTGTATCAAAAGTCATGGCTTGTGATCTTTGTAGTGTGAATTTAAACGGAAACTTTTGCTAACATAGAAGTCATATTAATAAGGACTATTGATTTGTAAAAATGGCCACATAGATTAAATAAATTGTAAGTAATTTTCAAGGCTTCCCTCCGAGCTCATTGTCCCACACATACTTCAGAAGTACCTGGAGTTAATAATAAGCTAATTACGAGCATTTAAAACCAATCCATATAAATTGTCATGATATGAAAAATGACGCCTGGAATGATAACATATTTCAGTATAAGGTAATAAGATGGGCAAAAAATTACGCTACTCTGAATTCTCCTACTAATTAAAACAAAATGAGAATTTTCTTTCACACATGACAATTTAATTCATTTGAACTCAGTGAGTGTTGTTTGCGATAAAAATAGCAATAACAAAATCCCTATAATATTTGCTGGTTACTTTCGTGCAACGGATCTAATGGCCCATTAGTCAGTGAAAACATATTTTTTATATAAGAGAATTATAAGTATCTGTCATACTTAAATAAAAACCCTAT